CCAATAAATTAAAAGTCTGGAAAAAAAGGGAGGAATCCCACGTACCACAAACACCAGCAGCAAATACGTGCAAAGCAATCAAGAACCGCTGCGAACCAATCAGGTGTGCACATGCAAACCCACGTGAGCCGCCTCCAGACAAATCGCGCAATTCATGACAAATTCAAACAAAAATCATCAAACTGAAGAAAGGATTTTCATGTAAAATGTGTAAGGCATTGCATTCGTTAATTTTTTTACTTGAAAGTAAAACAACTAATATAGGGTCTTACACTAACAGCTATTTAGTTTTTAGCCCTAAAACCTATAAGTAAAGTTGAAAATAGTTTTTTGATGACTCTAGTAAGTAAAACGAATATTTTTTTTTAATCCTTTATATTTAAAACTTATTTTGAAGTATATACTGGAGAATTAGTGTAGTGTCCTCAGGCCAATAATGAATCTGCAATGGACCATACAAGTGTCGAGCACCATTTACCGATAACATAGTCAACATTTGAAAGAGTAAGGACTTTAAATTTAATCATTTAAAGACAACAATGAAGTACACGTGGTGAAAGTCCTGCCGTCTACAAACTGCTTTGTTCGAAACGCACAACTCCATACTTAGCCAATGCTTGTTTAAAACGCCATGATGCAGCCTTAAAAAGTACTCCACTGGTGTTTTTCGAAGACAAGGTTTTGCCTACAAACGTAAGAAGGAAAACCATACAATGGTATACACAACGGCAACATAAAGGGGAAGCAGAGAAGACTGTGCCTGAAAGAAAAAAGGGCTACAGAATGCTTATGCTGTTTAAATGTACCCCTAAGGGAAAACCAGAGCAATATGTACTAACTTTGTGATAAATTCGACTCCAGGATTCCTAGAGGTGGGAAAGTAGTCCCACAACCCAACCACCATATACTTGTAATAATTTTTGTCAGCTCTCAAAACAACCCAACCAATTAATCACCTCGTTTGAAACGTATAAGTGCGAGAGTGAAGGAAATAAACCAAGAACTAGCTACACAGATTTATCTAACATTACCTATTGTACATAATTGTAACCCCACAAAATTTTACTGAATAACAAATGTCATTTTCTGCGCTTACATTTGTTGCACATTGTATTCATTGGCATATTGACATGCAAATGCATCGTTTTTAAAAGATGACTTCTTATTATGAAATACATGTAAATACACCTTTACGGTTATTTCTTGCAAATATTAGTCTACAAAATGGAGAACATTTTGATATTGTAATGCATTTCTCATGCAAATGACTTTGCACAACAGTCACTTTCTTGGAGCTTTGTACCCACAATGTGGCGCTAAATCAGCCCAAATGTTGGTGAACTAGGAATGCGATAGAAGTACTGACAGGGTGAAAGCAACGGATCCACTACTGCTGATATACATAAGGCCGAGTGTCATTTGCAAACATTCTGTTAAATGTCAACATGGATTATCCAATCCACAGCACATTCTTACATTCCAGTCCTTGAATCCAATGGTATTCTTTTCTCTCTTCCTCCGTCCAGATTCAGGATCGCCTGGAGCAAATCGCACACGAACAGGCGACTGCCATCTTCAAACTGCTGTTCCTTGTCGCCCGAGTGGAGGGCAAGAGTGATGCAGTAGAGCATCTTATTGATCAGGAACTCCTCAACTCTCCCTCCATGCATGAGTAAATCCACTCCTGAGGCGAGTGATTATTAATTTTACAAATCATCCGTGCCACCTGTCAGGTGGCATGCGTCTAGTAAACTGTAAGGTATTCGTGCACATTTTCTGCCCCTCTTCTGGAAGAGGTGGATGGTGCGAGACGGAGAGATGGAGGAGGTAGATGAAGAAGAATGATGAATAGTTGGATCGAGAAGGGGTGGGTTACTAGGATACTGCTCTTAACCTTGAAGTGAGTGTAAGCGCATTTAAAGTGTACTCGAATGTGGTCTTACCAACCCAGGAGGGAATGAGTGAGAGGGTAGTTGCTAGATGGG